GAACTTCGGTAACGGAATAACGAGGTTTACTATTAAAATTCGTAATAACGATCAAATTTAAATATAAAAAAAAAGGGAAAGTAACACTTGCTTCGGTATAACAAAAATTCGGTATAACGCATTTCGTTATAACGGGGTCCGACTGTACTAGCTTTTTGGTGTTATATGAGAAATATATAGTTAAATCAGTGCAATTTCATGTTATTAAAGATTATTTTATTAAACCATGCTAGCATAAGAAAACATCAGAACAAATGATCTAATAATAATAAATTAGAACATGTTTGTTAATCTTACTGTTACATGCATTAGTAAAGTACAACAACTGTTTACACATGCAATTGATTATATATTAATACTATGGAAACAATAGTCCTATGTTAAGTTCATATCTAAAATATAATGGGGTTTTGTCAAAGTTGTTATTGTTTTTACAATAAAGTGAAGAACATTTTATTATGAAATTGTCATCTTAAAGTAGAACAAATACAATATACAATATGCCTGAAGTGTTGAAGGTTTGAAGTTGTGAGGGGCGTACTTTATATGTCAAATGCCTTAAACTTTTATTTAAAAAAAAATTGATAAATTGGACAGTAGTCTAAGTCGACCAAATTCCGTGTTACAGTAAATAAATTTACAGTATTAGTATTAAAAAGTAACGAGTTGAGAGCTATGAAGAAAATTTTATTGTTTACCAGATAAATTAATGTTGTAGTTGTAATTAGACCCAACCCAACCCTTATAATTATTACTTTAAGGAAAAGATACAAACCACTTGATTTGCAAATTTCAAAACACATTTACCCATTTACAGTAATAATGACTGGAAGAAATGAAACGTACAGTATAACTATGTAAGAAATATATAATAATAATCAATTATGTTTTGTTGAATACCTAATACTAAATAAGTATCACGAATATATATAACTGAGGCAAACCCCTTTTCTTTTCCAAAATAAACAAAAAATTCTAAAGTTTTTTTATATAATTTGTTTGTGTGTTTTTTTTTATTTTTTTAAAGCATGAGGCTTTATCTTCGATTCTCCAATAGGGTACAGCAAAAACTTTTCATTAGTTGTACAAATTTCTTTCCTAGATAAAATTCAAAGTACACGAAAAGCGGTTGTATTTTGTTCATGATATCCATATCACTGTATCGAATAAAAAACGTATCAATGACTTTATATGTAGGTATTAAAATACACTATATACTAAATATCTCGCTATATATAATGTAGAAACCTTGTCACTATGTACCGCTTTTTAAATTAACCTACATTTTTGACCTGCATGTCACATTCACAACGGCTTCTTCTGCCCTGCCGCTGATACCAAATTCATAGTTATGGCGTCCTCGGAATCCGTCTCTTCACACGTCTATGTAAAAACCCCACGGTTATTACGTGCTTTAACTGATATGATCTAACCGCCCCTCGATTTTTGCTCGTTGTCTGTGAAGGCCTCGTTTTGTTCACCTTTTTCGACATGCTTTGGAAGATACGTTGGAAGAGAAATCGCACGTAGGAGTTAAAGTTGACGGTAATCTGTGTGATGTCGATAATGACGACGACCCAACCTTTTTGCAGCAACTGTTGATTGTCCCCTGAGTACAATATCATGCGACCTGCAATCATATTACCTTTCAAAACAAACGCGTCTATCTCGTATAATTATCCATAGTGATGTCATAAGCGCCAACTAATTTGTATTAACACACGCACGATGGGATTGTGCCGCGTCTAATGCTGAGTATAGTTATGGTTTTTGACAGAAAAAGTGGATTGTAATGTCAGTCAAACCTTATGGCATTGATAGAAGCCTTTTGTGTTGTCGGTCGTAATATGAACTAGTGTGATGTAAAATTACGAGTTAGTTAAGTAAGCATTTCGGGATAATTTGATTTATTCTAACGCTTATAGGAGATATAATTTTAAGTAAAGTTAGCCGTGATTATAATAAAGACAAATTGAAAATTAGAGGCAGATATTAGTCCTCTGGAGTAATTGTGAGATATTATGTAAGTTTGATTATACTTGAGTACTTTTCTAGTTACAATACGTAGACTTCAAAAAAAAAAAACATACGTTATGGCATCAATTTCTAGACAATAGATACTTTCACACCCACTTACCAGATTTTACCTCTTTCACTATAGAATAATTGGAGAATTGCTTTGTACAATAATAACATATGGCAGTAATAAAACAAATAATTTTATTTTTTGACAAAAAAAACCATACTTTCAAATATGGATGCTCATGTTTATATTACTATGTATGGATATTCTGACCCAAATCGGAATTTGACCCAATTCGGAATTGGGTTGACCCAAATCGCTCAGAGTGATATCGATGCACAACGGTCGGACACATACTGCACAACAGGAAACAACAGGTTATATGTTAAGAGTAATATGATGGTAAAAAATTGTTTATTCCTAATGATTTAAACATTGCGATAACACGTTGACTGCAGATACTATTCACTCTCTTACATGAACGCCTTTATCAGACAACTGATTTAGAAGCGGTTGAAGTAGCGTATTAGTATGGTGGACTGATGGTATCCCAGAAACAAATATCTCGTTAACAGTGCTAATAGGAATAAAGCTAGACGTCGTCCATGTAGAGCGCCGATATTGAAAGTTTAATGCTGCATCTAATTTTAATATAGCTTTTCTAATAGCACGCAGATCGCGTATGCAATTGACAAACATTTTTGAAAGTGTAATTTGCATACAAATGCATGACTGATCAAACTAAATCTATAGAGAATGAGATTACTCGCTTTTTAACAATATACAAAAAAGTTATCAGTCTATCACTTGTATTGCAGGTTTACGTTTTGAAATTCGCATTTCAACTCAGTCAACTTTATTTCTTTGATCTTGCATATTACATACTTGCTTTTGGTATAACACAGATTTCGTGGAAACTACAGCGCACTATTTGCTTGTTTGCTATCACACAGAATACTATCGTCATTTCCAATGCAAATAATATCACAGTATTATCTAAATTAACAAAATAGAATATAAGCGAGACGATCAACTATATTGTTTAATTAATAAAGACAAAAAAATGTAAATATTAAATACGTTTAGTATATAAATATAACTATTAAATTAATAATTAATAATATTATATTATACCAAGAATGCCCCGTTTTGACAGCACAACCTGAGCGAATTCATGTCGTATAAATCAAATTATCGCACACTATTATAAAAAAAAATGTATACTCGTAATTGAAACAATTGATTGAATAACCATGATACATTGATTTTGTGTGTCCTGTATTAAGCACAGCTAAGGTGGACTCTAGAGCTGCTTAACCATAATACATTGATATCAATCAATACTTGAGCAAATTTACCAAAAAAGCAGATACAAGTAAACCATTTAATAGTAAACGTGCAAATTTCGCCCACACAATTAAATTCAATAGTCCGTCCATTAGATAATTCTTTTATGTTCACAAGCGAGGACTACATCGCATCGGAGCGGAGTGTTTTCTTCCTGATAATAATTTAGTGATTACTGGCGCTGTGTTGTGGCTGTGCGGTGTGGTGGCGTAGACCAGCACACACGCACCCAATTTGGCGAATAATTTGTGACTGTGTTACTTATAATAACGATAACCACCCACATCTAACATCGTAAAAATATCCCAACAGCTAAAACTCGTACACTAACCATGTTGACAGATTCTTCTCGAGATTATTTCGAAGCAATACAGACTGGAGCCTATGAGGCTTCCTTAACATTTAGAAAACACTAACAGTCTAGGTAAAAAAAGCGTGAGGTACATCTACAATGGAATATAGGCCTTACAAACTTCGCCAACAACGCAACAGACGTAAGACTTCGATTAAAAGCGACCAACATTTTGGCGGTACGTATTTACATTTCTATTTGGTATTGTCGAAGAGCTAATTTTTGAGTACCTTGTTTAAAACTTATTAGACTGCAAAACAGCACTACAAGGCAACCAAAACTTTTGGCGGAAAAAGCGACTTGAAAGAAAACGGCGTTATTAGCAGACTTGCAAGTGCGAGTCTTGCAACTACAACGGCAACGGCAAGTTTAACGTTTACAACAGCAAGTATCAGCCTGCTCACACACAACAACTAACTGCTTCACCAACATCTGCAATAACAGAAACTAGAACAAGAAAAGCAACAATAGCAATTTCGAGAACTACTAATTGCACGTTCTGCAGTTGCAACGATGATTGCAACAACAATCGCAACTACAACAAGAACAATTTTTACAAATACAGCAATTATTACAGCGGCAACTGCAAATACTAGAATAGTTGGAAGAGCTACGGCTGCAACAACATGATGATAACGATAATTTAGTGTGTCCTTTATTGGCACCGCTACAGATGTTTGACGATGATAATAATGAGTAATACACTTCTAATCATAAATAATTAGTCAGTGTAATCTAAACTAAACAGAATAATCCGTAAAAAGGTACTTGTGTATTTCGACATGTAAGGAATTTTACTTAAAGTCACTAGATTCTGAATTATATTATTTGGATGACAAGTTTTCAGCAGTGAGAATTAGAATTTTTCTTAAGTTCCAGTGTAAATATAAATCAACACAAGGTAAAATTTATTCTGTCATTTCCCTCATTCCTCTTATGGCTTTATAATTCAAACTTCAACTACAGACCATTGTGAAGAACAACTTTAAACGTCCTTAAAGGAAATCTTGTCAATGAGTTAATAAAAGTTTGACAAAAACTGGTCAAGCTAGTCAATCAACTACATTATACATGTCCTATAATTGCCTAAGGGCTCAAATTTTTCCGACAATTTTGCAATTCCATTGGTCCGTATTTGTTCGAAAACTTTTATTAGTTCTTCACGTATATAAAGGATTTCATCTGGAGTAACGCCAGCCGCTCCAATCCTAATTTTATGACCAGAATTGAGCCATTAAAAGCAGACTTACACTTGACGTCAAAGTCGTAATTAAACGTTGAAAACTAGTAAAAAAGTAATCAAATTACTAACATTCAACCACACGACCATTGAAGAGCCTTATTATTACAGTATATCTAATTATTATTATTGTGAACAATTTGACGCTAAAATCATAATAATAGAGAATCATCCATGATGTAGAAACAATGAATTTCAAATTATATCATTACAAACAGTTACCGTCGCGGTAGAAATAGAGTATGAGACTTCGAATTTTCCCGAGGAACGGGAAATAAGATTTTTCTGCGATGAGATAATATTGCCTAATTGCAAAATAAACTGTAAGCGTGAGATCAATGCATTATTATCAAATGCCATACATTTGCAAATAAAGAAGTTCTCGTGGAATACGTCTGCGTGAACGAACAAGCATTCAACGACATAATACTATCATTTTATTTCAGTCTGTCGTAGTCACAAAAAGTCAGGGAAAAAAAGGATTGTCTTATTGTACCAATTAATGTTGCTATCTTTTGGTAACATTATTCCTATATTGCGATAGAATACTTGTTAAAAATGACAGTCTTTCTAGTTGATGATAATGCAACGCTTTTTGCTATGATCTAGTTATTATAATATTATGACAAAACAAAAGTTAAAACACGATCCAGTAGTCGACTATTGAACTTTTAACCTTCTCATTATTATTAAACTGTAATTATTTTTTAAGCCTTCATGCATTTAGAATAACGACGTGTTATAAGAAGCATCATCACTGGCGCAATCAACCCGATTTTTTTAGTATTTATTTTCCCATAGAAGTGTATATGTAATTAGTATATATTCTCCTCGTTCTGTCCAACAGTTGTGCGACAACATCGAAATATCATTCTGAGCTTATTTCGATTTGGGTCGACCCGATTCCGAATTGGGTCAGATTTCGATTTGGTCAGAACATGGATATCAATTAATTGGTCATTCTCTGGTAATTATAGCTGTTGAACCACTAAACCTAATATTGATAAAAATCGCTTCTTGTTCATGGGCAGTTATAATAATTAATTGCCTGAATATATGGAAAAATGGAAAAAGTTTTTTAATTGTCCCAGGAAGCATTCTAATGCGAAAGCGCACTGTTGTAAGCGCAATGATACCACAGCTGGTAGATTGTTAAATTAATCCCACGATAAAACTGGCAATCGACTCGATTGATGACATCATTCAAGTATGAAAATGTGCCACATTCATCAAATTCCTAACACCAATAATCAATCTCATTTCCAAAATTGATGGCCTGACAATACAAAACATAATTTGCCACTCCTAATCCTGACATTGCATTGCTGCTTGTCACTGTAGAATCTTATCTTACAAAATTCGGACAAGTTATTGATACAACAAACATTAATATTATACTGATATTATTGATTTCACAAATAGTAATTTCCTTTAATTGCATAAGATGATAATTCAGAATTAAAATCAAAGTTTTGAAACTAGAAACACTTCCCAATCATTCCAATCAAATTCATCTCGTAAATGCCTAAGTGAAACTTGATATGAACGTTGCCTAGCCCGGCCTTTCATATTACTGTCACAACCAAAACGCAGATCAGCCCCATCCCCAAAACAAGGAAAATAAGTATGATGATCATAGACGGCATATCTA